AGGTCTTCTTTGATTTCTTTCCTCAGAGATTTGAAGTTCTTGTCATACAGATCTTCTACTTGTTTGGTTACAGTCACATCAGTATATTTTATATTATTCGTGTCTATTGTGAAGGGTGTTTTTTCCCTAATTGCTTTCTCAGCCTATTTATCCTTTGAGTAGAGGAAAGCTACTGATAGAGCTAATTTTATATCCAGCCACCTTGCTGAAGTTGTTTATCAGTTGTAGGAGTTCTCTGGTATAATTTTTGGGTATACTATCATATCATCTGCAGATATTAATATCTTGACTTCCTCCTTCCAAATTTGTATGCCTTTGATCTCCTTTTGTTGTCTAATTGCTTTGGCTAGAACTTCGAGTACTGTATTGAATAGATAGGGGGAGAGTGGGCAGTCATCTTGTTCCTGATCTTAGTGGGATTGCTTCAAATTTCTCTCCATTTAGTTTGATGTTGGCTACTGGTTTGCTGTATATTCCTTTTACTATGTTTAGATATGGGCCTTGAATTCCTGATCTTTCCAAGACTTTTATCATGAAGGGGTGTTGTATGTTATCAAATGTTTTTCAGCATTTAATGAGATGATCATGTGATTTTTTTTCTTTGAGTTTGTTTATATGTGTATTACATTGATGGATTTCCATATATTGAACTATCCCTGCATCCCTGGGATGAAGGCTACTTACTCATGGTGAATGATTGTTTTGATGTTTTCTTGTATTTAGTTTGTGAGAATTTTATTGAGTATTTTTGCTTTGATATTTATAAAGGAAATTGTTCTGAAGTTCTCTTCTTGGGTCTTTGTGTGGTTTAGGTGGCAATATAACTGTGGCTTTATGGAACAAATTGGGTAGTGTTCCTTCTGTTTCTATTTTATGGAGTAGTTTGAGAAGTATTGGTATTATGTCTTCTTTGAAGGTCTGATAGAATTCTGCACTAAAACTATCTGGTCCTGGGCTTTTTTTTTTTGGTTGGGAGACTTTCAATGACTGCTTCTATTTCCTTACAGGTTATGGGACTGTTTAGATGGTTTATCCGATCCTGATTTAACTTTGGTACCTGGTATCTGTCTAGAAAATTATCCATTTCATCTAGATTTTCCAGTTTTGCTGAGTAAAGGCTTTTGTAGTAGTATCTGATGGTTTTTTGAATTTCCTTGGTTTCTGTTGTTATGTCTCCCTTTTCATTTCTGATTTTGTGAATTTGGACCAATAATTGTTTCTTCCTGTTATTTTTGTTGCTAGAGGTGGAATTATGTTTGTGTGGTTCTCTTCTTTTGGGTTTATTGTAAGAAGATTAATTCCTTGTTTTTGGTTGGGTATAGTTTCCCTCCTTGTATTGGAGTTTTTCTTCTATTATCCTCTGTAGAGCTGGATTAGTGGAAATATATTGTTTAAATTTGTTTTCATCGTGGAATATCTTTATTTCTCCATCTATGGTAATTGAGAGTTTTGCTAGATATAGTAGCATGAGCTGGCATCTTTGTTCTCTTAGGGTCTGTACAACATCTGCCCAAGACCTGATTTTAGAGTCTCTGTTGAGAAGTCAGGTGTAATTCGGATAGGTCTGCCTTTATATGTTACTTAACCTTTTGCTCTTCCTGCTTTTAATACTCTTTGTTCTATGCATTTGTTGTTTTGACTATTATGTGACAGGGAGAATTTATTTTCTGGTCCAAACTGTTTGGTGTTCTGTAGGCTTCTTGCATGTTTATAGGCATGTCTTTCTTTAGGTTAGAAAAGTTTTTTTCTATAATTTTGTTGAAGATGTTTACTGGCCCTTTGAGTTATTAATCTTCGCTCTCTTCTATACCTATTATTTTTAAGTTTGGTCTTTTCATTATGTCCTGGATTTCTTGAATGTTTTGAATTAGGAGTTTTTGCTTTTTGTATTTGTTTTGACTGTTGTGTCAGTGTCTCCTATGGCATCTTCGACACCCAAGACTCTCTCTTCTATCTCTTGTATTCTGTTGTTAATACTTGCATCTATGGCTCCTGCTCTCTTTCCTAGATTTTCCATCTCCAGGGTTGTCTCCTTTGGTGTTTACTTTAATGATTCTATTTCTATTTTTAGATCCTGGACAATTTTGTTCAATTCCTTTACCTATTCCATTGTGGTTTTCTATATTTTTTGAGAAATTTATGCATTTCCTCTTAAAAGGCTTCTACCTGGTTACCTGTGTTCTCCTGTATTTCTTTAAGTGAGTGATTTATGTCCTTCTTAAAATCCTCTATCGTCTTCATGAGATGGAATTTTAGGTCTGAATGTTGCTTTTCAGATGTATTGGGGTATCCAGGGCTTGCTGTGGTGGGAGAACTGGGTTCTGATGTTGCCAAGTAGCATTGGTTTCTGTTCCTTATGTTCTTGCACTTGCCTCTTGCCATCTGGTTATCTCTGGTGTTAACTGACCTTGCTGTTTCTGACTGGAACCTGTCCCTTCTGGGAGACTATTATCCTATGTGTCTCAGAACTTCTGGGGGTCAAGGTATCTCTGGGTGTGGGTGGATTGGTGCAGGCAAGAACTCATCCTTCACTACTGGACTCAGGTGCAAACTGGAGAGAACCCTTTGGCTGGGTGGAGTTCCTTGTCCCCTGGGTCCCGGGGGTTCCAGTTAGGCAAGGTATTGGGGCAGGGGTTAGGGCCTCACCTGTGATTCTAGATCATAGACCCTAGACCCAGAACTCCTGGGTGTCAAGCTGTCTCTGGGTCCTATCTACCTATTTAATTATAGCATGTCTTTACCTGAACTTTAAAGTCTCAGACACATTCTAGGATGTGGCATCTTTTCTGTTCATTCTTTCTCCTTTGCCTACCAATAAACATCTTCTGTGTACACATTTCTCATTTTATTTGTTGCCTTCTTGGCATTTTGGCAACTCATTAGTTTGTACATTTATGGATAAAATGCTCATGAAGTGCCAATGTAGCATGCTATTTTTCTCCAACAAACACTTGAGCATAGTACCCATTATTATTCTCTAACTATACTTTAACTTGTTCATTGTAGAGTTTTCAAAAATTATTGGTATTTTTTGTGGTGGTGCACAGCTGTAACCCCAGCAATACTATGGAAGTCGAAGCAGAAGGATCAGTAGTTCAAGGTCATTATTTACCACCTAACGAGTTCTAGACCAGCATGTGCTAAATGAGAACATTCCTCAAAAATGTTGAAATCACATTATCATTCGTTTTGAAAGATTTGATACTTAAAGGTTGGAGACAAAATTCTCAAATCAGTAAGAATGGTCTAGTACAGTACCATAGTAGCTATTTATCCATAAGACTCAAAAAGACAATGATTTATAATAATATGAACTTAATAATTTACAGCAAATGATAAACCCTTTAAAGTAGAGTGCTTGTGAGATCCAATTTCTTTCTAAATAGATTTTCACAAGAGCCCAAAGTAGTTAGAAGAAGATTCTCATAGCACCAAGGTGAACATTACCATCTATCTGAGCCTGGCCCTGTCAGTCTTCACTGGCAGAACTTATCAGGCCCTGCTTTCCAGAGGCAATGCCTCACCCACTCAGTTAGAGATATGTACCCAGTCAATGACATATGGCACCCTTTGTCTGTTGCTTGTGCTGGAGAATGCTGAGCATCCAACCTCCCACAGTCAGGTTCTATAAAGTTCTAGTTTTCTTTTTTTTTTTTTTTTTTTTTTTTGGTTTTTCGAGACAGGGTTTCTCTGAGTAGCCCTGGCTGTCCTGGAACTCACTCTGTAGACCAGGCTAGCCTCGAACTCTCGAACTCAGAAATCCGCCTGCCTCTGCCTCCCAAGTGCTGGGATTAAAGGCGTGCGCCACCACCGCCCGGCCTAAGTTCTAGTTTTCTTATTGCAATCTCATTCTTGGTTCTTTTATTTTTTGAGGGTCTGAGGGAGAGAGGGACAGGGGGGGGGAGGGAGGCAGGGAGGGAGGGAGGGAGGGAGGGAGGGAGAGAGAGAGAGAGAGAGAGAGAGAGAGAGAGAGAGAGAGAGAGAGAGAGAGAGAGAGATTTTTTAGAGTTATTTATA